GATCTGGACTGGGCTGGGATGTTTTCTCAATGTTCAATTGCTCTTGTATATAAATTTCTTTCTTATACACATGTGTATCAATGGATTTGTTTCTCTAGTCTACCCAGACTAACACAGGGCAGAAAAGAAAAAAGGGGATGTGGATAGTGGGGGAAAAGGGCACTAACCCACACATGAAGAGAGTATTGTTCATTTATAATTTATCAAGGATTCACAAGGGTGGGAGGGTGGTAGAGGAAGGGAAAAAAAAGAATTGCTGATACCAAGGGCTGAAGCAGAAAGAAAACGTTTTGAAAATGATGATGGCAACATATGTACAAATATGCGTGCTACAATTGATGTATGGATTGTTATAGAAGCTGTAAGAGCCCCCAATAAAATTATTTATTTAAAAAAAAGAAAAATGTTTATATAGTCATTGTTTTGGCAATTGAAATAATTTGGTTAATTTTTATATACACAGTAACTTTGAAGTATGTATAACACAAAGAATCGCATGATAAACTAAAGATTTGGGGGCTACAGATGGTAATAAGACTGCACAGGTGGTTACCATCATGTTTATGAACAGTTATGAGTACTAAATGTTATTGTGAAGAAGTTTTGATTACTCAGGTCTCTGGAGTCTGGGAAAACATATAACAGAGCATGAGTTTATAAGACAGTGTGTTCCTGGAGTACTTAAATTGGTAAATATAAGACAATGTGTTCCTGGAGTACTTAAATTGGTAAAGAAAAGTGAGAATGTGTTAAGGAAGATATAGTTTAAGGTTCTTAATACTTTGTAAAATATTGTTGTTTCTTAGGCATTTCCATTTAAATTTCTTATTATCTTTTGCCCCCAGGTATTAACAGCTGAAAAGAAGACTATAGCAGAAAAACACCCTGAATTATCCCCTAGACCCAAGGAAGGTAGTATATTTATGTTGCTTTCTTAGCAGATGGTTAATGCGTACTTGGATGTTACTGTTGTTAAGTGTCATCCAGTCGGTTTTGACGTAGCAGTTCTGTGTACACAGACCAAAAACTGACTGTTCTGTTACATCCTCCTAATAGTTACTTTTACGTCTACTGTTTGAGTCCCTTTGCCAGTCCATCTTATGGGCTTTCTTCCTTTCATGCTCTCCCTATGCTTTACCAAGAATGATAGCCTTTCCCAAGGACTGATCTCTCCCAATAATATGTCCAACTTATGTGAAACGAAGTCACGCCACCATTGCATCTGAGGAGCATGCTGCCTCTACTTCTTACAAGACAGGTTTGTTTGTTTTCTTGGCAACCCGTGATATTTTCAGTATTCTTCAACAGCACCATAATTTAGATGCATCAGTTCTTCTTCAGTCTTCCTTAGTCATCGTCAAACTTTCACATAGACATGAGGCAATTGAAAGTACCATGACTTACTTGGATCAGACACCTCTTAGTCCTTGAAGTCACGTCTTTGCTTTTCAGCATGCTAAAGAGGTTTTATGCAGCAGATGTACCCAATGCAGCATGTTGGTTGAGTTCTTGACTGCTGCTTCCATGAGCACTGATTGTGGATCCAAGCAAGATGAAATTGACATCTTTAATCTTTTCTCCATTTGCCACAATGTTACCTACCAGTTGTAAGGATTTTCTTTTCTTTATATTGAGGCATAATCTTGACTGAAGGCTACAATCCTTGATCTTCATCAGCAAGTGCTTCAAGTTCCCATCACTTTCAGCAAGCATGGTTGTGTCATCTGCTTATCAAAAATTGTTAATTAACCACCAGAGGATGTTCACTGGTACAGATAGGAATTGAAAATAGAGGGAATCCAGGGCGGATGAGCCCTGCAGGACCAGTGGTGAGAGTGGCGAAACAGGGAGGGTAAAGGGAGAGTGGGTAGGAAAGAGGGAACCGATTACAAGGAACTATATGTGACCTCCTCCCTGGGGAACAGACAACCAAAAAGTGGGTGAAGGGAGACGTCGGACAGGGCAAGATATGACAAAATACCAATTTATAAACTATCAAGGGCTCATGAGAGAGGGGGGAGCGGGGAGGGAGGGGAAAAATGAGGACCTAATGTCAGGGGTTTAAGTGGAGAGAAAATGTTTTGAGAATGATGTACAAATGCGCTTTACACAATTGATGTGTGTATGGATTGGGATAACAGTTGTATGAGCCCCTAATAATATGTTTAAAAAAAATTTGTTAATTAACCTTCCTCTAATCTTGATGTCACATTCTTCTTTATATAATCCAACTTCTCTGATGATTTACTCAGCATACAGATTGAAAAAGCATGATAGAGGATACCACCCTGATGTACACCTTTATGAATTGTAAACCATGCTGTACTCTCTTGTTCTGTTTTCACAATAGCCTCTTGGTTCGTACAGGGTCGGCATGAGCACAATGAAGTGTTCTGGGATTCCCATTCTTCTCAAGGCTATCCTTAATTTGTTATGGTGCACAACATTGAATGCTAATGCATAGTCAGTGGGTTAATGGAACATATTCTTTTGATAATGAATCTTTTCAGAAGTTTCGAGGGAAAACCAAGGAGATAAAATGAAATTGAGAGAGCCTGGACCTTTTAAGTAGATAGCCGTGTTCTTTAAATGAAAGGATGTAAAGAGCGTAGTTACCAAGTAAAATAAGACTTGTAGGAATGGTGTAAATTTTTTCCTGAAAGATACCATGAGGTATTTCCCCAAAATCTTTGTTAATTTAGGTCAGAGATTACTGGCCCCTTGACTTTTTTGTTAGAATTTGTCAACCAGCTTTTCTCCTTATTGTATCATTGGTTTCTTAAGCACAGACAATGTTACTCCTCTTGGTATCTCAGAGACTGCACAGTGCCTGCCACCTAGTGGGCACACAGAAATGTTTCTAGATGCATGGTAACAATTCTCATAATTTGGCTGGTGTCCTTTGTAGAGTTCCACTACAATGGATCATGACTTCAAGGGAAGAACAGAGAGTCCTTATAAAAGATATCTTGAAAACCTAATTCTGAACCTGTGAATGCAACCCCATTATCAATTAGGTTAATATGAAGGCATACTGGAGGGGGATGGCAACTAATCCTGTATGATTGAGGTTGTTATAAAATAGAAGGGACAAAGACACAAGGACAGAGACAGGATACCACGTGCTGGTGTATTTTCAAGCCAAGGAATTCATGGGGTTTCCAGAATCTGAGTTAGAGGCATAGAAATGATTCTTCCTCAACGCCTTAGAGAAAAGCAACATGAGACACCGGGTCTGACTTCCTGCCTCCAGTACTGTGAGACATTAATTTTCTATGCTTAGAAGTCACTCAGTGTGTGGTATTTTGTTGCATTATTAAATCAGTACACTAATAAATTATCAGTAGTGGTTTTACCTATAAGTAGTTGGTTAAAAAAAAAAATAACTCACTGCCATTGAGTCAATTCTGACTCAAAGCAACCTTATAGAGTAGAATAGAACTGCCCTTTCGGACAGCGTCCAAGGCTGTAAATCTTATGGAAACAGAAGGTCTCATCTTTCTCCCTTAGAGTGGCTGGTGGGTTTGAACTGGTCACTCTGTCGTGGTTGTAACAACCCACTGTACCATCAGGGCTCCTTTAAGTAGTGTAGTTATTAGGTGCATTTCAAGTTAGGTCCTACTCAGATTGACCCTCACAGAAAACAGCAAAATACTGCCAGGTCCTGCCTCATCCTCACAATGGTTCTTTTCTTTGAGCCTGTTATTGAAGACACTGCCAGTGCATCTTGTAGAGGACCTTACTCTTTTTCACCGCTCCTTGGCTTTACCAAGCATCATGTCCTTCTCCAGGCACTGGTCTTTCCTGCCTGCGAGTCCTCAGTATCTGAGATGAAGTCTCGCTATCCTTGCCTGTAAGGTTGTAGTAGTTGTTGTCTTTGTCTCTTGAGAATTGTAATGTTGCTGTTATTGTTAGGTACCATCAAGTTGGTTCTGACTCATAACAACCTTGTGTCCAACAGAATGACACACTGCCTGATTCTACACCATCCTTATTATTGTTGCTGTGCTTGAATCTATTGCTGCAACCATCTTCCCAGTTCATTCTGTTGAGGGCCTTACTCATTACCACAAATGATATCCTTCCCCAGGGGCTTCTCCCTCTTGATAACATGTCCCAAGAATGCAAGATCTAGTCAGTCTTGCCATGCTTGCTTCTTGGGGCTTTGATGTTCGGTACCTATATATTTATCATTGGTATATCGGCTCGATAAAGTATCTCTTTGATCATCAAATAGTGCCCTTCCTTATGTTTTGCAAGTCTATTTTGTCTCACATTAAAATAGCCACTTTTTCTCAGGTCTAAGGTGTATCTCTTGTAAGTTGCACATAGTTGGAACTTCTGTTTTTTTCCCAATCTGCTGCTCTTTGCCTTTTTATAGGAGTATATAGACAATTATGTTCATGGTAGTGACTAATAGGAAAGACTTCTTTCATGTTGTCATTTGTATGCCTTTACCCCTCATTGCCTTCTCTACCACCAACTCTTGTGGAATTTATTTTAAGGAACTATTTTGAGTCCCTTTTTATTTTCGTGTATATTTTAAATATATCTTCTTTGTGCTGACGATGATTATTACATTTAACATCTTAGATTTAATTAATCTGGTTTAAATTGATATCAATATTGACTTTCAGTATTTTCATGAACTCTTTTTTAAAGTTACATAATGCTTTTTCCCCCTCTTCTTTCATACATATATTGATTGCTAGATTTAAAGAAGTCTTTGTGTTTTTCTTTAGTCCTTTGCACTTATGTAGACTTCTACTTGGGAGGCAGCATTGGCACCCCATCTAAAATGGATGTGCATTACTCACAAGGGGCCCACACTGAAAGACTGAAGGTATAACTGGGGGAGGGGGTGTGTGGAGAACTAGAGCACTCCATCCCTGATGGCCGTAATAGCAATGTGGACGTGTAGGATGCTCTCCTTTTAGACACGATTACTGAAGACTAAAAGGATGTGTGAGTGGTTAGGTAAGCGGGACCTGGACTAGGTAACCCTGAAAGAAATGGGGACTGGAATGATGGCATTTATTATGTCCTTTTCTTTCTTTAAACATAGAGGTATTTGTCTGCTGCTCTGTCATTCTTGTGAGACTTGTGACTATTTGTATGTTTGGCGGGGGAGGGTATCTAAACCAGTAATCCCAGGATAGGCAACCTTACGGAGACAGCTGGACCAATGGTTCCTAGGGGTCAGGAGAAGGGAAAGGGAGCAGGCAGCCAATAATGATGGTACAAGAGAATAGTGAGTGTTCCAAAATTTACGGCGAGGAGTAGGTAACTTTTCTTGACATATTTGAATAATTTAATTGTAGAAATGTGAATGATGGGTAAGCATACTGTGGGGTAGAAGGGGTGTGTGTTAATTAATTAATTACTGTATATACGCGAGTATAAGCCGACTTGAATATCTGCCAAGGCACCTAATTTTACCACAAAACCTGCATTAAAATGTGCTGAAAAACTCGGCTTATGCTCGAGTATATACAGTAACGTGTGTATATGTAACAAGAATCAGATGGGTTTGGGGCTTCTACTTAAACCCTGCCTCAGTACAAGAACAGTTTGTTCTAATAACCTGGCATTCTGTGATGCTCACCTTCCTGACGCAATCGCTGAAGACAAAATGGGTGCATAAGCAAATGTGGTGAAGAAAGCTGATGGTGCCCGGCTATCAATAGATAGCTTCTGGGATCTTAAAGGCTTGGAATTAAATAAGCAGCCAACTAGGAGGGAAGCAACATAGCCCACATGGAAGAAGCACACCAGCCTGTGTGATCATGAAGTGTCAATGGGAAGAGGCATCAGAAGTTCAAAAACATAACCAACTCTATGTGAAAGGGCATGGATGCAATAGAAACCCAACACTCACCTGCAAGGTTGTGTTAATCTGGGTAGACTAAAAA